GATACTGTCAAATTTCACGAGAATTTTTGAACCAGAAAAGACGACAGGTGGGGACGAGAAAAATTGAATATTGAGATTTGAAGAGATGGCTAGAGAAATATTGCGTAAGGCAGATAAGGAATCTATGAATGATTCATTTGTGGTTTGCAAAGCAATCTCAAGCTCCAAACAAATAAAAAAACAAAATTAGAAATCTTCTACGGTCTAGACAAACGAGAGTCCTGGAAATAACACATACAAACCAGATCTATTTTGATGGAACTCCCCTCCCACGTCTCCACAATGACTCATATTCACCGCCTCTGGCATTGAGGTTCTTGCACCGAGCACACAAATACCTAATCTCGTGTGACTAACCAAAAGATCATCGAAAAAGCAAGGTTATTCATCATATTCATCATATTCATCCTGACCACATATGGTAAAATGGTCTCGTGCATTAGTAAGGTAAGCTTTTCTAGGGCAGTATATGTTTTCGCGGCGAACTACTAATGCGTCAAGTAAAACCAAACCAGCCAAAGACAGCATTAATTTCAAAAATTTCATAATCACAACAAAAGGGAAAACGTAAAATTTTGAAGAGCTGCAAACGTATTGCTGAACTCAGCTTATGATATAGCACTTAGGGAAAAGCCTATAGCTCATTTGTGCACGGTGTCAAATTTCCTAAGACCCTCATACTTCAAAAAAAATGATAGAAAAATTCCAAACGGGTAAAAAGTGATTTTTTTTATTAAATGTTTTATGTAAGCCCATTCAAACCGTTCCAAATCATCCAATGGCGACAATAGCAACATCAGCTCTGATGGACTAAAATTGGAAACATAAAAAATACTAGAATGGTTATCAAGACATGTATACATCAACGGGAAAAGCAAAGAATAAAAGAAGAACTCTTATCACTAAGCCGAATGTTATCTCCGTCATAATACGAGTAAAGACGCTGATTAAGCTTTTTCTAATGTTTCAGCCAAATATGTAAAAAATCACGAAAACTCCTCTTTCACACACTCAAAAGTTGGAGTTATTTTAGCAGTTAAGGAACCTGTTGTTGGAGAAAATCAAGAAATGCATAAACAAATTATGGGTAATTATAACTTACCCTGTAACAACCACATCACCGTCGGGGAGCTAAGGGGTAAAGTGCGATACTCAGCACTTGTTCCAGGTTCTCTTAGCACTTACCGCTCAACCAACCAGTTATGATACACTGAGAAAAAACTCGAAAAGAAAGCTGGTTAGCTACTTGTTTGAAAGCGGGCAAGCTTTCGCATCATTTAGCTTCATCGAGAAAAAGGAAATCGATTTTTCTAGTGAGCGCACACGCTTTCCGTCAAATCTTTCTTTTTTCCTGCTTAGGACTTTATTCCTGCGTTTATAAGCCAAAAGAAAAGAATTTCGCAAAAATATCTGGCTTAGGCACTCAAAAAATTGCGATTCAGCATCTTGCTGAGGAAAAGGGGGGAGGATACTGTCTTATTTAAATATTATGTCAGAAGTATAAAATTTGTGGAATTTTCTATATCCAGAGAGTAGGAAAGAGAGGCAAAAGACTGGTGAGCAATATCCTCACTTGGTCCTTAATGAACATGAATTCACGGAATCTATGACACTCAGTCCGCTCATTCATCATTTCACCCTTATTTTTTCGTAAATTTGTCATTTCTTTCCATTATCTTTCGCAATCTAATCTTATTTTCGATCTTACGGCATTCAAAATCAAGACTGCCCACATCAACCTGAAGATGGGGAAAATTGTCTAAAAAAATTTGGGAAGTTTGTGGATGCAACGAAACATGTTTCCTACCATACAGTCCCTAACACCACCTCAGTTCCTGATGGGTTCATTCATGCATATGCGCCGTAAATGCGGAATTTTCGTTGAACGGCTGATAAATAGCAGGCAAAAGAGATGCTATGGCATTTCACAGCATCTATGCATGATTACCAGACTTGAAACTTATGTAACGGAAAAAATCTTCAGATACTTTTCCGCTTCATTAAGTTTTGACTGAGCATGAGCAAATCATTATAAAAAAAACGCTATACAGAGAAAAATTTTATCAATCTGACTGGACGCAATTTTTCGAGAAAATTTTGCAAGAACATGTCAGTTGGAAGAAGTTTGTGGCAGCTTATAAGATCTATTATGATCCCAATGAAATCAGTTTCAAACTTCAGCTCCAATCATGCTCTTTCCTAGCGGCCAATCACTTGCCTGAGTACGGTAGAAAATACGGTCTGGGCTGGAGTTTAGGGCTAGATTTCTCAGCCATGAACGGACCTTACAAGCTGCCGCTAGGGCGATGGTTTAGTTAGAACATCTCAATCATTTTCCACTCAAGAAACCCAAGCACTAGACATTGCCTAGACATAACAGCCTTCAAGCTAGCACTAGCACATTAGACCAAGAGCTTAGACAAATGAAAACCATAATGACTCGAAAACTTCAGCTCATTTCATCACAAAGACACAGCAGCTGTTCACCAACAACAATAAATCTCGCGACACATGTCAAACATTTTCGCGAAATTGTCCGCGTTTGCGTGGACGCACAAAAAAACCAAAGTTGACATTCTCGTGTTTCGGAGCATACAAATTGTATAGTCGCGTCGCGCTGGACGCTGCATGCTATTGACTACGAGAGTGTTTCATGAAAAGGAATAGCAGTTGGAACAGAACGAAAATGCGAGAGTTGAAGACAATGCCAGGCTTAAATTGAACATACATGAGCTGCGCTATTACAGGAATATGTTCTTAGTTGTCACGAATCATGGACTAAGCATCATTATGAACAAGTTTTGATAGGAGCTACGAGAAGGCTTTCATAAGGATGTTATAGAGGCTGTAAATCTTTTCTATGGAGAATGGAGGTAAAAAGAAAAGAATTGAAACCAAACTTGATAGATGAAGATGGAGAAAGGGATGCACTTTGAGAAGAGAATAGTAATGATTGTAAACGATTTGAAGAGCGAACAAGCCCGTGATTGGTAACTGGATAAGTTCAAGGAAAGTTGCACAGAGTAGTAAGAACTAAATGTGATAAAATAAGCAAAAAATAAAGATAGTAAAAAGAAGCTCGGACTTAGGTGATCCTGGCAAATTGCCAGCGACTGGCTGCCATCCATAAACCTCAAAAAAAACAAGCTACAAAAAAGAGATTTGAGAAGAAACGAAATATTTACAAAAAGTAGTGATGGTAACAAAATCGACAAACTTACGCCCACTCTGGCAACTTGTCAAGTGACTGGATGCCACCCACAAACCTCAAAAAATGATTGAGCTACAAAATACCGACGGGACAACAACTGCCCAGGCTTGAGCTGAAACATAGGCGAGAATATGACACCTGACCACAGAGAATCGATGTTGAGAAGCGAACACGTATAGAATAGAACAAGCTCGCCCCACACTCAAATCGGAACGAGCCCTAAGCCAGCCGCCTCCACCTTTAATGTCCCAGATAGCACTAGTCTCCACCGCAATAAGGAGGACCGGAGGACCTTCACAAACTGAAAACTCTCAAACGCCACCAAGTCCGTTACGAGCGCACATTTGTAGCCTGGCAACGTAACAACAGCCCCTTGATGACGGGCAATTAGAGAGCGAAGCGCCTGCCAAATCTCTTTCCAGGATATCAAAAACAATCTCCCTAATACGATTAACCACAAAATAAGAAAAGTGCTTCCTACAAAGGAAAACTAAGGGTACTGCGCCCAAAACTTTGCTTTCGAGTCCGCTTCCCAATCTGCTGAAAGATTCTTAGAAGAATTCATGAACCTTGCAAGCGATCTTATCGAGTTCCCATGAATAACGGTCACAAAAAAAGCTTAGTTTCACTGCAGACGCTTCTAACAATATAGATCTTTACCAAAAGCTTATAAACCTTGCCATCTTCCTCTAATTAAAAACAGCAAGTTCTTGATGAAGAAGAAAATATACTAAGCTTTGAAATATTACATTGAAAGTACTGAATGACATTGACAATGGCCCGCTTGAAAACCATCACGTGGGTGAAGCGAAGGAAGGGGTAAGAGAGAAGTAAGACACAACCTTGATTCAACTGGTCAAAGCCACTGTATTTCTATACACATTATTTCGGAAGAAGAGAAGAAAGTTAGAAGTGATAAAAACAAAAACCTGAAACTCCACCATGCATTTGATTGAAAACACCTATTGTCAAGTTACGAAAACTCTCAAATGACGAAAAAATAATAAGGAAAATAAACTCGAAAAGCATCGTCGTGAAAATGCCAATGATATATTCGTATGTTCTATATTTGTCAACAAAAATCAAAACTCACCATTATGCATATGTGGACGCGATCAAGGGAATAGAAAATGTTATGCGCACACAAACAAATCCATTGCTGTTTTCGTTAGACTAAACTTTTTGTAACCATGACAATCACAAAGGTCTCCTATTTTTGGATGAAGTCTTGAATAAAAAAGGGATAAATATAGATACTACAGGCAACAAAAGGATAACATCCCTAGCATTCTCTATTCCTCATAACTCATACACAATTCATATAACTAGGGACTTTTAAGACAAAAGAAAACTGCGCGCAGACATTGAAGATTCAGGCCACTGCAATAGCAGATGCAAGAAGTTCTCTCCTCTGTGGCCTGTGAAGCTCATGAATACTTAGAGAAAAGAAAAGAAGACTGAAATAAAGAAAAGAAAGAAAATTAACGAACTTGAGAACCTAACCAAGCACATGGCGCTCTCGACGTCAAAGACGTTCATGAACACTGTTTACTACCTGGCAGGTGGGAAGGTAAATCAATAGATTAGTGGAAGGTGCAAAACCATTCTTCGTACATTCCACCTCTTCAAGTGACCACTCATGGAACAGGTTTTCAACTGACAACACCCGGGTCAACGGCAACGAAAACGCCATCAATTACACTTGCAAGAAAGCAATTACCCGGAGGGAACTCGTTCGAAATTCTAGGTTACGTTTAGGAAAACCAAAGATACGAATCAAGGCGCTCACCTGTTCAGTCACACCGTCTTCACTTGCTCAGGTCACCGAATCGAACAGCTTTCCAGTGACGGCAAACCCTAAAAATGATGTCTTTTTAGTGTTTGGTCGATACAACAATAAACCACAAACGATAGGTGATAAGTTTCACCAAAACGATTACAACAATAGCTTTATGTGAGCAGAACGGTTCTATTGAAGACGGAATTGACGAGGATAGAGCATTTTGCATTCAGAGAAGAAACAGATCAAAGAAATGGCGGCCGAAAAAATTCGGAATTAATAATAGTGGTAGAAAGGAGACTAGGACAAGCAGAAATACTGAAAAATAATGAAGATTAAAAAGAAAAAAAAGAGGAATAGCTGGGGAAATCTGAAGCTATTAAAAGCAAAATTAGCCCAAAACTTCTGCACTACTTTGACTATAAGTCGGAAACGATATATAATCCCCTCAAACTGATTATGGGCAAAAAAGAATAACCGAAGAAACTGCAAAAAATGGTAATGACCTATGACAATATGCCACTGAATTGCTGCACAAAAGGAGAGTTATTTTCAATTTAGACAGACATACTCTGTTTCATCAGTAATAAGAAGTAAAGGTTTTCAATTCTCAATGTGTAAATAACCAAAAGGCTCCGTTTCCTTCCTGCCCTTAGACGGAGTAAAAGTATTTACAGACCGTCCCCGGAACTTACCAGTAAGGAAGGAAGATCTGCAACTTATTTTCAATGCTGAGAAGTAAGTTTGTTTGAGAGTAAAAAGTATTTACATGAATTTGAGAAGTAAAGTTCAAGGAAATTGTGTAAGTAGAAAGACAATTTTTTGGATACAGATGTGGGTCATGCAGATTCTATAATTATATTTAATCAGATTTTTTATTATTACTGATTCAGATTTTTTTAGAAAAAACATGATTGGCTAGGAGACTGGTGTGCTGCAAAACAGACACAAAAGATAAATAACACTAAATGGTTAGTAATTATCAGTGTGACAACGTCATTGGTTTAATAACATCATAATCAGGTACTTTTGACATCTGTCAATCTGCAGCTTTGAATAAGATATCTTGATTATCGCTCTCTGCATTCTCATACTGAAGCTTTCATGGTAAAATGAATCACGTGGTAAGGAAAGCTCACATTTGTCGACCAAAGAGAAAAACAGGGGAAGGGTAAGCAATGCAGGAGCAACTAGCACCATCAATGGACATTTAGCTGGAAGATATAAAAGAAAAGAATAGTGCTAATGGCATCGTTTGCATAAGAATTGCAGTTACGACCATTAATAGCAATGCGGTTGATGAGAAAAAGGTTTGCTGGTTTTGTAATCCTTTTGTAAGCATTATCCAAGCTTTCGTCTTTCATCTAATTTGGATCTTGCAAGCAAAGGAATTCCATCAGTGCATCAAAACGATTACGTTCAAGGAGAGACAGACCAACAAGCTTGGTTTGTTTTCAAGAAAAAATAAAGCTAATTGGACGATTCTAGCGATAGAAAAACTGCAAATTCCATATGAAAGCACATTGTATTGGGTTAAGCCGATTCCTTCGCAACATCAAAAATTATAACTTCTCATAATCACAGAAGATTTGCATAACCTTGAATTTATGAAGAAAAATCTTTTTTCACAAGTAAATACGCATACACAGCAGGGATATAAACTGCAGAAGACAATTCGTCAAATTTTGATTGTTTTTTTTTTCGTGCAGGTTTGCCAAAAATCTGAATATTGCACTAAATACCGGAGCAATATATGTTGACCAGCTTTTTATATCCGAGAAAACGTGCTGATTGAGCGTTTCTTTTGGAAGTTATGATTTCCAAAAAAACAAATTCGCCGTTTTGTACCGCTTGGAGCATAACTTGGCGAAGAAAAGCTCAATCGCTTAGGGAAAGTGGAGTTGATAAAAGCTATAAGACTAACTGCTCTTTTTTGCAATTCAGATTTTCACCCTACACAGAGATATCAAATTTAAGTTTTCTTCTACTACTTCCATCTCTGCTGTGTTCAGAAGTCTTTCAAATGCTATTGTGAGCAGCACGATTTCCTCTTCCGAATAAATCCGAGTTTATGCATGTATGAATTTTTGATGGTGCGAACAAACTTAAACCAACACAATATGAGTCAGGATTGCAAAGAAAACCACGTACGGGTTCTTGATTTTGGAGGCTTCGATTCTTCAAAGCGTAAAATAATTCAACAAAGGGAACAAAATAAATAGCGCATATTAGCCAACGGATTTTTAATTATGACAATGATGCGTATCGCAAATTATGAAAATTAAAAACATCTCTGAAGGTTCTGTTGCTTTACTGATCGGGAATTGATAGTTCTTCCAACCAGGGTCACCGCAGATTTGCTTAAGCAAAACCAAAAATTAATATAATTGAGATTTAAAGCCGTGAAATAGCATACTGAACTCGAATTCGTTCCAGATCAAGTGTCCTTGAAAATTCTAAGATTCTCTACCATTCTTCACTTTCTGATAACTTGCTCCAGCACTTGTGCATATCATAAATTTTTATACATTTTGAAGCCAGAATGAATGAGCACTGTTTGAAATTAATTGCTTGATGGGCGTGGCGCGTTCGGCCGACCAACTAATCACCGTTCAGATGCGTGGAGAAATGTTTTCTTATCTGAGCGACGACTGGCTGATTGGTCAGGAGCCACGCCTATTCGGCATTCAAGTGCGCATCAAGGAAACCCCAGATGAGCAACTTGATCTTTTCAGGCTCTCCGGGACAGATTTAGACGTCCAAAAAAATTCGAAATAAGGAGTAAGTGTCATTAGAAAAAAACTCCAGCCAATGCTGCTTTTAAATCCGGTTGAATATTTAGAAAAAACAATTTTTAACGAGAGAGGTGATATCGGTCATTTCTGGTTCGATTACAGTATACATAGCGATTTCATAGTATGTTTACAAAAATAAAAGTCCTACAAATGGGTACACGTGCTACTCTCTTGATTAATTTCTTTTTACAGCAAAAGAGATTCATTACTTTACAGTCAGAAAACTTGCAACGCTGCTTCCGCGGAAGTTCTCTCAAAGCGAAGGTATTCTCTCGACAGAATCGAAAACGATAACCTCGAATAAGACAGTAAATGTGCAAGCAGCATTACCCAAGAAAAACAATTTTGCGAACATTTTGCAGCGAAGTTTCTTCCTACTGAATGGTAGAAAACGCAGAAAATGGCGAAACACTAATGGAAGCAATCAGTGAACGCCCAAGTACAGTATCAGGTCAAGGGCGTAACCATCTTTTGAGGAGATGTGCAATACGAAACGACGACTCAATGCTTATCAGGAAAGGTGCCTGCGAAAAGATAACACGGGTTTTTCGAGAGAAGACGACGAAAAATGGCGTCAGAAGAAACGATAAGCCTCGGGTTGAATGTCGATATAAGAAGTGGAAAAAAGTCAAAAATTCCATGCTGAATCACCAAATAGTCATTCAACCATGGACTTTATTTTGAACAAGCGAACCGAAAAATTTGGGAAAGCAAGCACTATAAGACTCAAAAATCAAAAGTCAAACAAAAACTAAAGAGAAGAACTCAAGAAGACATTTTCTACAGCCAAGAACTTGATCAAAGCTGCTTAGGTGATTGCAATTGTGAGAAATCTAGTTTTGAACGGTTTCGCTTTCCATTCTTCCCTTTTACAATACATTAGCACATTGTAACTGGTTTCGAAGAGTAAGAGTTACCCTAATGTGTGATGATGACTTGGGTGAGGGTCGACATGGAGTGGTAATGGAGGCTCTCTCACCAAACTGCAATTTTAGGGGCTCTTCCATACTGGTGCTATGATACAAGCCAAAGTTAATGTCACTTTGGCTTTGGAAACCGTAGACGGTCCAGCTAATCCTCTTATGCAAATATTGCAAGTATGCAAATAATATTAAGTCAAAATATTCATGCATGTCATATCATGCATTCCATTTGCTCAGAATTGCAAAAATGCAAAAAGCACGAGCAAAACACTGGCAAAGACTGGATAACCACATATTATTATTCATAGATATATTTCAAATTATAGAAATGACATGACAGCAAATTCCATACATAAATTAGAGACAGGGCCTCAAAAGCTGTTTTCTTCCAGAAATAACAGAAAATTACTTGTAGATAGAAAATTTAGGAAGTGGGCAAGAATGGACATGAGAAAATCTGATTCAAAAGTAATGCGAAGAAAATGATGCAAAATATATAGAATGTTGTAAAAAATGGTGATAGAATAGAATTACCCTCGTTTTGATGAAAATGTATATCTTTTCACTCAGAATGTATTCGAGCAAAAATCTCATCAGGCATGACACAGGACTAAGGAGAAAAAAGATATTGTTTTCTACACAGCAAAAGAAGTGACGAGAAAGAGGTTTGCATAAAAAACGACGAGTTCAAATTGCAAGTGGTTTCTGCGAGAAAAAGAAACGTGCAATGTCAAGGATAACTAGAGAACTGACTCTGAAAAAAAAACGGAAGCAAATTCCAATTCCCAACAGAAAGAGAGTTGGGCTTTTTTATGTACATATGCTGACAGCTTTTCTTTCCTTTTCAAAAAAATGATAACTATATGAAACTCTTATCCGAAAAAAAACAGTTAGCATATTTTTCGAATGAAACTCATTCCTTTGAGAAAGGAAATTATTCATTTCAAGTACCGAATTTTAAGTTTATTCTCAAAAAAAATGTAAAACCGATAGCCAAAAGAGTAACCGAAAGCAGAAACTTCAACAAATTCATCGAAATCGTCAATAACGATAACTTTCTATTTCATGTTAAATCAAATCAAGGATTTACAGACTGAAGCGGAACTATTGATTACAACTGACCCGAGGACCAGTTTTCGCAGCCCTTTGCAAATCGTTTGCATAAGCCAAACAAAGATCGATTTTTCAACTAGTACACACTGTCACGCATATGTACATAGGTGCGAAAGCATCTGTTTGCGCAAAAGCTGGCCATGCTGCAAATTAGCAGGGAAAAGACGTGAATCCGCATACTCGATTTCTACGCAAGAATGCACAACAATTGGTGACTTTCGCATATGCAAGAAATTTCGCAGAGGAACTCTGATGGGACAGGTTCTCATTCGAATTCTGTGAAAGATTTGCTCGGAATTTGCACGAGAGAATTAAAAAAAGTGCAAAAGATGTGGAGAGAAGATTGGCGAGTTATTGGCGATAGGATCTGATTGATATTGAAGTGCGCGCTGAGTGCAAATGCAGACAAAGCAAGAAATCAAGCGCAAATACAAGTTTTTCCGCGGAGGATGGTGCAAGAAACAAGTCAAAGGTTAACATGGGCATCGGCCGCACGGGTCCCCGTCGGTTGAAGAGCCGGGACCCCGCAAGAGATGACCCAATTTATTGATCGGCCAGCCGCACGCAGCTCTCTATACACACGACGAGAACACTTGAACACTCACGGTGTGTGTGCATGTGTGGACCAGCAAGGGGCGATAAAAACCGACTGCATAACGACGTACAAATCGGTCGGCGCAGATGTTCAACGCATCCGGTGCGAATTAGAAGGAACCGCGCCGCCACGCAAAGGAAAACACACATTCCGTGTGCTAAGTGGGACGGAATTGTGCGAGGAGTTCGTATAATCATCATCATCATCAACTTGGGGACGGGGATATTCTCTTTGATGTAAGTGTCGCCGAATTTTCAAAACTGGTATGCGTACTGCACACTAGGCGCGCTACTTGACGACCAGTAAGATTATACCTGCTCATTTCTAGCAAATTCTCCTTGCTTCCTTGCCTCTTTTCACTTGATTGAATATGTATCGATTAGCAGAACACATTTCTACTAACTAATATACCGTCTGCGCCCCAGAGAGGTTCCCATGTGAACCAGCGCGCGTACGTGGTGCGACGCTGCCTTTCGCTCTTTTTGACATGTTTCTCCTGAGATTCCAACGGAAGTGCCCGAGGTTAACATGTTCAAAAGTGCGAAAGGCAGCGAGATGACGATGTACCTATAGGAACCTCTCTGCGCAGACGATACTTTGTCACCCTAGAAGAGGTTTTACTGAGGCACGCGATATTTGATCCGCTTACTCCGTTTCGTCATTGGTCAAGTCAGTAAACTGACGAATAGCGAAGCGGTTTTCCAATTAATCCGTTTGATCCACTTCATCCACTTCACTATCAGTTCACCGATTTGACCAATGACGAAGCAGATAAAGCGGATCAAGTGGATTTAGGAGCGGATCAAGTATGGCGCGAGCCTGAGGAGTCATAAGGGTGCTGTCGATTGACGCGCACAGTGTGCAGACTTACATATCAAGTTACAAATGACTCAAAGATACGATGTACTGCGACTTTTACAAAGCACCGTTTGCTGCCATGTGGGATCATTGCTGTGGAGCAGTCACTGACTTCTCTGCACCACCAAACAAAACCGTACATACATATTTTCAAAAACACCACCATGTGGGACATCCAGGAGAGAAAGAACTGTACCATTTGGCAATGTCTTTGAAAAGGAGTGCAGAGTCGAGTCATTTGCAAATTGATATGTGAGACTGCACACTATGCGCCGCAACCGACGAGATCCTTATTAGTAACTAGCTGGCTTACCCGGCTCCGCCGTATGTTCCGAATAGAAAATTCCATTTCTTAACCGATCCGGACCAAAGACATTCAGCTTTATATATAAGACTCCTCAGTGAATCTTTCCCAGCATAAAAAATTGCACAAATGTGCACTACTAAGTGATATCTGATCAAAGCAAAAGAGACAAGACAAGAAGAAATCACTGACAGCAAGTTCTATTTTACAAACCGTCAAGAGCGCGCATGGTCTGTAAAACGCAAATTGAGTTGCAACTCACAGGAGGACACAATTTTTTGACAGCGAGTAATTGAAGGCAACCAGAAAAGGACGTCTGCTACTGTTGTTTCGACATAAAAAGAGTGTCTTTACTCTTGACAGCTTTGAACCGAGTCGCGCGCAAAAGCGCGCATCCCTCCATATTTCTAGCACTCTCTCACGACTATCTGGCTACATGCATTATTCCTCCATTGAAGAAAAGATTTCCTTGGGTTTCACTTTTAGAAAATGCAACGACTCTAAGCAAATGAACGGTTACAACAGGAAAAAGCCGTCAGAGCTACGAAAATCAAAAAATTGCACCCTGCCTTTTATGCTATCAAAGCGAAGATAGGTATATGCAATTTCCGGAAGTTCAGAATGAGTACATTTTACTATTCTTGTAGGCCCGCTATCGAATTCTGAGAGATGTGCAGATGCACACATTAGTAAAGAAACCACCTTGACTCTAAATGGTCAAGACTCATTCGCAAGAAACCGAAAGATGACAGAACCGTTTGGTTTTGATTGGATATAAATCTGCATTTTATGAGAAGAAAACTATGAAAGCAACACATAAGAGTACAAACAAGAGATGAAGTGATACAGCGAGACTGCGACATCGCTATTTTCCAGAGAAAGAGTGAGGAGGTGGAGCCAGTGAAAAAGAGCAGTGGATGTCCGAGTGGAACCAGTAACAAAACAGGTCACACATCGTTGCCGATCATACTGGAGTTTGATAAAGGTGGAAAAAAGAAGGCACGGTGAAATAATCGAGTTTTCGCTGGCGATGCGCTGCGCAGATTCACTTTAGACGTCCCATTTTCGTGCGGAGTGTAACTACGTCGCCTTGTTACACTTCACGTCAAAATCACCTTTTCGATTTGAATGCCACTTTTCACTTATTTTTTTCAGGCTTTCTTTTTGTTTCTGGGTTTTTCTTGGGTTGCACTACCACTATAGTGATTCTATAGAAAAGGCATACGGTTGGGGAATACCGCTTGATGTCTTGGTTTTTGCTGATTTGTTTTTCAAAGAAGAAGTCGAAAAATCTCATACTTTTCTCATAGATAGAATCAACCTGACACTTTCAGCTGACAATCCTGCTCTGTTAAGCCGCAGGCTCTCTTTTTTGACTGAAAATGATCGACCTCGGCCTGACTGTCGCTGGACGACCGTTGAGTGCAGAGGTTCAAGAACTCTTGAAATCTTACTCGGACGATTTACTGGATGCGGTAGGCTTTTTTCGTCATTCGCTTGTCTATTTGTATTGAATCTATTTCTACTTTATTATTACAATCTGTCGTGAGCAATTTACAGTCTTTATTGAAAAAATTTGATCGCACGATCTTGCTGATTGCACGGATCGTAGTTGTGATCAATCTCTTATCTCTTACCGTAACTCCACAATAAATCCTACAGGTTTTTGCACCCTCTCATATTTACGAATCTGTCACCATTCACTCTTGTGCTTTGGTCAGCCAATGCTTTCATCTAGGCGGTAATTTTCGACCAAATATTTCCTATTTTGTCTTTGATAAAGGAAAGTTCCGCTTATTGTGGATGCATATATTGTTCAGCGAATTCATACGTTTGAAATATATCATCATCCTATTTACTTGCCAATCTTTGGCTTATTGCAGCTGTTTAATTATAGCCAATGTTCTAAAAACTATCTTCCTTTTGCTACATTCATTTCGTTCCCTTTCAGTTGATCGATGCAACATGTGTCGAAACAAAATCTCGGAACTCGCACAAAATCAACGAGAATGATGCTCTAAAGTCTATCAAAACTGTTTCATTGTTTCCTCCCAGAGTGGTGAGTTCATGTCTGCCCTGTCTTTTTGGTTCTTCTCCATTTTTTTTGAATGAGTCTGTCTTGAAGTTCTAGGGTTCGTGTGTACATTATCGCCGTTACCGTTGTTGCAGCTTTTCTGCTGTCATTAGTACTCTGTTGAATGATTTAATAGCCAACAGTACAGAAGAGGATCCTTATGGAGTAATCAGAATCAGACAGTGCTATTCCATGCACCACCAGCGGTAACAGCAGTAACCGCGGTAATGCATGACCGAACTTTAACTTCCTGTCTTGCTTTAGTTCAAATATTGAAGGATATCTCTTTTCATCTTGTTTTTACAGGTTCCTCGAGCTACTCTAAGAATCTTTGACACTTCAAAACCCTCAGAAAGTAAGAAGGACCAGAAGACAGCGACGAATGCACCTTCAAGCGCTTTTGGTTACCCTGCTAGTCAGTCATCGGGACGCTCGCGACGCCCAGTGGTGGATGAGGCAACCCTCTTGGAAGATCTGCGCAAGCTGAAGCCAGCAGAAATCACGGAACCACAAAAATTCATGTCCCATAAGCTGACTTTAGATCCTAAGGATATCAGACCACGGGTTGGCCCTGCAGCTGCGGCTGAGGTGGCCTCGGCAATGGAACGACCTGCTCGACATTTTATAGGCCGACCTCAACCCCTGATCACTGAGGATCGTGGCAATGTTCAGGCTGAACTGACGACTTACCATCGATATCGCAGCTATCTCGGAATTACTGGTCCCATGCCAAATATCAAGCCGAACATGGGTGCAATGATGAAAATTCCGGCGTTTCTTCAAGCATTGCAACAAAGAAATGAAATACTGGGCTTTGGTGGCGGCAGTACGGCACCTCCTCAGGTGCCTCGAAATGCAAATGCACAGGTAAATCAGGTACAAGCCCCGCTTAGTGCTTCCGGCTCTGCTTTCGGCTCAGCAGTTGACCAGCGACTTTACCCACAACCAACCCAACCGCCGGTAAACTCGTACCAAGTGCCGGCAACTTATCCCGTGCCACCCAACATACGTCAGGCTATCCAACGCCTTCAGCCACAACAGGCTGCCCAAATACTGAATGAGCTCCTTCGAAAACAGCAACGTCAGCGATTTGTTGACGATCTTGAACAGTCCGCCTTGAATTCGCCTACTCCACCACTAACGGAATATAGCTACCCACCTCTTGCTGGAAGTCAACTCAATCTCGCGAAGACTAAAAGTAATGACAAATTGGCGTTGGCACTGTCTATGAGGACAGGTGATGGAATAGCTTCCAGCGTAATGCCGAGTATCCAGGAAGACTCGCCACCTGAAGAAGACAACTGGGAAAACCTGGAAGGTCCAGTGGATCACTTGGACTGTGCAGCTTACTATGAAAGTATCAATCCGAAGCTAAAGGAAAAGACTATGGGAGATAATTCTCATAGAAACAAAACAGGGCAGAATCGAGATGAAGGAGACCAAGAAGTGGGCCCAGAGCAGAGCAAGAGGAAGTTCTATAGACCCAAGACACCATCCTTCTTGTCGTCTGAAGAAAAGAAGAAGTTTGATGAGTGTGTCAGTCGACTAGAGCTGATTGCTACAATGGTACAAGAAGGTTAAGTCGACTTTCTCGTTTTACTCTCAATTGAAATTAAGATTTCGCTTTTCATGAGCAAATTCTTTGATCTTTCCTTTCACCTGTTTTGAAATTATTTGATAGTTTTTTTTTTGCGCGAATGTCGGGTTATTATTTAAAATTTCGTAATACATCATTGTCACAAATGTTTCATTTTTGGTGTCATATTGCTATGGGTTATGTTTTCTTGATTCTATCTAAGTTGCTTATGGTGTCATGCACACACCGTTTGCAAAACGTTTATTCTTTTGTACAGTTTGTTATGAGGTTTCTGTTTCTGCCACTGATTCAGATGAATTCTGTCTCATTTTGACAATTTTCCATGAAATCTCTCTCCTTGGTGAATTAGACAGGCAATAACGGCTGTTCCCAAATACTTGCACAGCTTCACAATGTGCTCGGTAGACGATGTCACGACAGTAGAAGTTGGATGAGAGGGCACCTATGCATTGACAGAATGTCGTGTCACATGTGGCTCTAGGCACCGTACAGTAGTCGTAACATCGATCGTGTTGGAAGCAGCATGAATTGACTATAATGAAATTGTTTTATAGTTGCCTTTGTGCGCATTGTACCAGTCTACACGCAAGGCGGATGCGCAGCGGATGATGGCGATAAAGCGCTGAATGGACTTACTTCCTGCTTGATTGCATTGTAATGTCAATATGAAGGACAAGAAAGTCGAAAATGGGTCTGCTCCACACTGGTAGTCGGGTAATTGTCCATGGCAGCCAGAAAAGAATAGCAAGGATAGAATTGATGCGTATCCATATATCCTTCTGCACATCCTATGGTTGCAAAAAATCTAATTCATGTGCAAAATATATGGGGAAGGCCACAAGCTTTTTCTTGGTGAATATAACGTGAATGTGAAAATGTAACAAATTGCATATTTTTGTTGGGCGAATAGTTGCCACCTTTATAGGTGGATTGTTGTTGTTTTCAGTGTTGTTTTTTGCGATATTGAATTTTGCATACAACAAAATGCCTAGTTAGAAAAACAAAAACAAAAGTCGCCAGACAATACCCCTGTATCTTCAGTTTGGCGTAGAAGAGATATGCACCGAAGATGCTCAATCTTTTCTATTCTTAGTAAATTATTCCTTTCTTTTGGGTACTGAAACAGGGAGGAGCGATGATTTTTCCACATATCTTTCCTGTTTTAGGTTTGTTTTGTAAGCATTTGCGTTTGTTCATAAGCTGATATTTTCAAGGAACATTTCGAATTTTACCAGACAGCTTTTCTTGTGCCTTTTACCATGGAACAATACCGAACAATTTCTTATGGTGTTTGCATGCACCGTCACAGATTTTGCTCATTATGTTGTGTTCATAAAGAGAACAACCAAGGCGAAGGGACTAAGACAGGAAAGTGCACACCTCTTACGTTTAGTCTAGATGAGATCTGTCTATATGTAAACGAGTAATAGCATATATAGCATATACAGCGATTTCTTTTGTAGTAGGAAAAATGATTTTTTGGTCTAAGAAGTGGGATCTTCCCGTTGATGCACTTAAATCCAAAATTCTCCATATCGGCAACTCTGAATTTCGTGACTATTTTTGCGACGGGGTCGTCCTGGAGCGCTGTAGCAATAGAAAAGATCTTACAAATAGCATTTTTGTAGACGATCAGCTAAATTTTAATTTCTACTTTGATTCAGTGATCAAGAATGCTCTGTCAGCGCTGTTCCTTTTACTAACAATAAGAAGCATTCAGAGCAATGACCAAGTGCTCCTTGTGCGGCTCTATAAGACTTACCTTTTGCCACGTTCAGAATATGCATCACCGGTCTGGAGTCCGTTTGTGAAGAAGAACATTGAAATATTAGAGAAGGTCCAGAAAATATTTACCAGAATTCTCTACTACAGATGTTTCTATCCCAAACCGGATTATCCTCAAACTCTGCCATCGTACAATATTAGACTGGCTACGCTTAAATTGCATAGCCTGAGATATAGATGCATATGTAACGATTTAGTCCTATGTTGTCACATCCTTAGACTTAAAACAAGACTAAGTCCTAGCCGTTACTGGATTTTCAGACCTTGTGGGCAGGGCTCGGCACAGGTGGCTTACCGGGCAAGCTGGATATCGTTTTGGAGGTATAAAGCAAAGTGGTTATCGTTTTGCGGGAGCATACCGATGTCTTTCGATCTGCTGCCGGCACCCTGGCGGCATGCCGGCAGCACGGTCTCCCAAACAAACAAACGGTTTGTTTACAGTGAAATGAAAATGAAATGACACCAAAATGGGTGTGTAGATGGGCATTGGGGGGATAGTACTATGTGCAAAAAATTATGAAAAAGTTATGTGAATCAAAGTCGCGGCAAACTTTTTTCGGAGTTAGGTGGCTTTACAGCCACCTGGACAGCCACCTGAGGTGGCTGTAAAAGGAAAAAGTCATATATTCTCCTTCCTTCACATAACTTTCTCGCATATTCAACATAGCCTTGTTCTACATAAAAATCCCCACAACTTAGTTTTTGAATCTCCGAGAACCCCCTCATCGTCGCCTAGTTACAGCCTTTTGTATGGCTGCGGCAAGCCTGCTCCAAGCGCGCAAGAGTGCGCGTCGGACATAGCATGCCACCAATTCGGGGAAAACGAACAGCTTTGGCTTTTTTTCGTCTGTTCGAACTTGTTTTATGTTTTGTTCCATTACTTTTCGTTGTTCGTTTTGATCCTTTCACGATCGCGTCATAGGTGATGTCGTATTTTCCTGCCGAAGTCTGCAGGGACATCGTTTTCGAATAAATGAAAAAGCCACCTCATGCCGAGCCCTGCTCGTGGGAGGACTGGCGGTTTCGGTTTGTTTTACAGAAAGCTAGGACGTAAAAAGTTGTCAATAGTTTAATTCTTTTGTGTGCCGTTCCGCCAGATGGCTCAAATTTCTACCATGCGAAATTATCTCGTCCAAGAATTCTGCAGAGTTTCGAAAAAAAAAATTATCTTCCATAGATGTCCTACAGACTTTGAGAATCGCTGGTGTTTAACCTGCTTTATTTATACTGCACGTCTTTTTCTTGGAGGTTTTTTGCACACCATGCCTAAGGGGAGAAAAACAAAAGAAAAAATATTTTCTTTCTCTTTGACTCCTTATCAGGCATGACTACAGCCTTGACGAAATCATTTCTATCGTTCTACTAAAATATCCGGACAGGCTTGCAGTCTCTTCGCTCAGCCGTTTGAGGGAACCAAAGTTAGCGTGCCCCTCTTCTTGAGATCCCCCTTGTAAGAGCAGCGCTACGCGCTGGAATTTTATCTTAACATCTAAGCTTACAGTAATCCAGCGCTAACTCATCTATTTCAGGGCGTGGCCGCTTTAGCAACTGTATGCTAGAGAGGTTCCGATCCCAGCTCCCGAGCGGTGGCGCTCTCCTCATCCCCGGGCGGACGTTTGCCCCGTTGTCGTAGCCGTCGTCACCAACCGAGGACTTATGAGACTCATGGTCATATTCCTATACTGCAGCCTGTGTCATCTATAGTAAACTGGTTCGTCTCTGGTGTTACGACAGCTGCATTACTCTAAGCCGTTTCCACTGGGCTAACGCTCACTGGTAGCAGCGAGTGGTTTCCATCGCAGGACGTGATGGACGGACGCCGAGGGTGAGTGATTTGTTTTTTTTCTTATTTTTTTGCGTGTTTTGTATGTTTGCCGCCGCCCTGTATGGCCGACTTTTCAAACTGACCATTTATTAAGTCCCCCGGCGCGGTAGGTAACTAAATTGCGTTAGTATCATGTTGGAATCTCTCCCTGCAGCCGTTCGCGACGGATGCAGTATTGTGGCGTGGACGCATGCTGATTTCGTGTTTTTTTGTGTTTTGTGATGATGAGGTTATGGGCCCCAGATGAGTGGAGATGTATTGCCCTGCTCACTCTCGCGCAACAAAACCCCCTTAAAGGCAGTGTCCGGGCAAAAACTCGACTTTGAGATTTTGTGCTTATACGGGCCTATTCGCCATGCTGAATCCGAAAATCCACATTGGAAAGCGCAAAAACCACGAAAAAGGGCTCTAACACAGGAGGGAAATCAGCAGGTGGGCGGGGCTTTCCCCAGTGCGATTTCACGCTCCCAGCTTCCGGAGCGATTTTCTCGATTCCGCTAGCCGTCCTAACATCGCTACCGGTCAAGTGCGAATGATTGACTTGAAACCGGAAGCGAGAATGTAGCTCTGGAAGCCGGGAACGTGAATTCACAGTGGGGAGGACTCCGCCCACCTGCTGATTTCCCTCTTGTGTTAGAGCCGTTTTTCGCCATTTTCGCGCTCTATAACGTGCATTTTCAGATTCAGCGTAGCGAATAGGCCCAGGTAAGCACAAAATCTCATAATCGAGTTTTTGCCCGGACACTGCCTTTAACGTATAGATTGCGAGTGACCCCCTTCCCCTCTTTCGAGGTTCAGTGGGCGGAGAGCCCCCCAGGAAACGGCGGACGAGCGCTGCTGCCGGCCTTGCAGGTTTTACTTGGGGGGGGGGGGGGTGTGCAGTGCTCTCCGTGTGGTATTGCTACTACATCCGCGTGTAATTTTTGCAATCACCAGCCGGTCCCGGAGAGGAATTGAACCTCTCATGGGTTGCACGCGAAGAAGTGCAATTTTTCGCGCTGCGCCATCCACCGTTCAAGGGAACAAAGACGGCGGCGCTATATCAACAGGACCCTTGGCATGCTCCGTACGTTTCACGGGCACAGGGCGAGTTGCATTAAGCATTTGAAACGTAGTTTCCGATGCACTATTTTTTTTGCTAATCATCGTCACTTATTCGGCATTCCTCTTAACCTGGTTCTTCCGATATTTACATCATTATTTTTCCTATTATTCATTATAGTACATCAAATTCGAGCATTTTGGGCCCTCTGTTGCCAAAAGCTACTATTTTGTGCGCAGAAAAGAATTTTGAGCAGAATCTACTTTCACATCCTTTTGACGTATTTTTGTGTAATTCAAGTCACTGTTTCAGTATGAAATTGCTCTATTTAGAAACATTATTGCAACATTCATTTTTTCGCAACGCTAGTATTGTAAATGCTCTTTTTTCTCATTTTTCACTCTCAAATCGCCAAATACAGACTTTTCGTATTAGCCACTAGGAAAAGCGTTCAGAATAGTTTCTAAATCTTTGCTCGTTCGAATCATTCAAATTGCGGCTCGTTTCGGCGCTGACCTTTTGTTTTCGCGGCTTGTCAGCTAATCGTCATGAACTTGCTGGGAATAGGCGCTTTTTCTACTATTGTACCCTCTTCTGCCATTTTCGAATACCGTAATTATCTCATGAAACAATCTTGCCCTTTGGTTTACCATCTTTGTATCTTTGTTCGCGCTGTTATTCAATAAGGTCTTGGCATTTATTCAAACTCTGATGAGTAATCTTGTTACCACGACTTTCCCATGTTTTCACTTCTTGCGAGCGTGCCATTTGTTTAAACTCATAGAAACAAGCAACCGCCGATAAGACGCGTCTTTGGTATTTTCTCATGCTTCGTTGGTCGAATGGCATTCTTTCCGTTATCCCGTCGGCTACTGATCTTCCCATTGATGTGCGACGTCATTACAAAACATAGCCGCTCTGTCTCTTCCCATCTCGTACACATATCTCCTTCCCGCGATATTTTACTCTTGGCATTTCAAACTTATCTGATTAGAGCGCTAGCATATATACGAGGGTAGACTCATTCCTACTCATCTTTTCTTCGCATATCGGTTTGCGTTCTTTCATATCACGTTCAACTATGGGACCTCCCAACACGAGAGCGGTAGCCCCGATTTCTTCAGAAGACCTTTGTGAATTCTCTTCAAAGGTGACGTCAACTTTAGTGGATATCGCCGACGACGCGACAGTCAAGGGTCACCAGGCCAAAAAGCTGCGCAACGCCACAGCGCAGGCTATCTCGGATGCATGGAAGGATTCCCGATCAGCCACAGCCGCACTGGCTAAACAGGTAAATGAGTCTAACAGTTCCCTATTACAAGGCCTTAATGACTCTTTTAGCGCGGTAGGCCAAAGAATAGATGGTATTCCTCAGGTTTTACCTTGCATGCCAGAGGCATCGTTGCCTCGCATCCCTTACTTTTCAGGGGCTAACGGAGGGGATCTTACACCTTTTTCGGTTTGGCTGCGCCGCTTCGAAGATATTCAAAATCTGTGTCCCGCGCCTCTTTCGCAAAAGCTCAAAGCTTATCACCTCATTGCATATTTGGATGTGGCTGCGCGTGAAAAGGTAGATGAGCCAACCGAAGAACGGCGGCAAGACTACGATACAGTAGTAGCGCATCTGAAGAAAAATTACGAAGGTCCACACCTTCGTAATATGGCTCGTAGGGCCCTATCTGTTGTTAAACAAGAATTGAAGGAATCTGCCGCAGCGTTCGCAGACGGAATCTTCAAGTTGGTTAGAGCAGTTACCCCGAATCAAGATATATCTCTACAGCAGCAACGAGTCCTTGAGGAATTCACAGCACGTCTTCGTCCCCGCACACGTTTCCAAGTCGAACTTAATAATCCGGCTACACTCCAGCAGGCTCTAGATGTGGCGCAGATGGTTGAGCAAATTGCGGAAACCACACCATTAGATCATACGTATGTCTCACATGAGCCAAAACCTACAGAGGTCAAGTTCGCTGAGCCTGAATCAACATGGAATCGCTCCGGAAGAGACTGGTTTAGAAACACTTTCCGAAATACTAGTAGATCACCTATAGTCTGCCCCAATCGGGATCAGGCCGAATCATCGGCTGAATTTGCGCGCTCGCAGCGCTAGGGGTTTGCGCTGCATACGCGCGCTGTCGCAGAGAGCGAAGAGATTGAGGGGAGAGCAGACTAGCTAGCCGCAGAAGTGGCGCGAAACCCTCGCGACGCGGACTCCCGCCATGCCAATTTTGGCCTGGTCAGGATTGGGGCAGACTGTAGACCTGCTTCAGATGAGCGCTATCGACGCAGAGGGACACCTCCACCAGTCAGTGGCTAACGCCGAGATGGTATTTCCAGTCGAAACTGCTTTGATTGTGGAGGATTGGGACACACGGCGCGACAATGCCCAAGCGGTCAATGGCAGAGGAACAGAGGTACGCGACCTCCATTTACTAGTGCTCGATCTCCTTATCGCAACAATAACCGTCCTACTTCTTCTCATGTCATGAAGATTGCTCCTCTCGATCCTTCTGATGAACTCTTGCAAGCGCGCGAGAAAATTAAATCGCTTTCCTTATCACTCCAACAAGCTCTCACTAATTCTGACGCGCGAGTTTCTGCGCTTATGAAACGGAACGAGGAGCTAGCTAATTCCGCTTTTGGGAAAGCCTATACTTCAAAATCCTCTTCTAACACCTTGCCAGATGTTCGCCTTCTGTTCTGTTTCGTACTCACCTTAACCGTGTCTCTCGCCAATTGTTCCTCTTCTCCAGTATGGCTTTGTCCTAGAGAATCCTCCGATGTTGTGGCTCGTATTCCCATGTCTTATAACTGCTCGCGCATCATCCCGAATGTCAACGCTACTCCCACACCGTTATCGGTACAGGTATTTCGCCCTAATACCAAGCGATACGATACTCTAACGTGGGCGAGCCCGTACTCTTCAGCCCACAGGACGGGGAGGTGCAATGTCTCCTCAACGGCAGAGAAGTTACCCCCACTCCCGATCAACGCGCAGCGCCGTCGCTTTGGGCCTCAGTCGCTACCCTATTGTAGCCATCCAGGCGGCCTTCGGCACAGGGAAGACTGTGGTTGGAGCACTAATAGCAGCACTGTTGACACGAGTCTCGTGTCCAGTTATCGTTACGGCGACCACGAACGCTGCAGTAGCACAGTTCGCCGAAACCCTGCTCGCACTTAACAACCCGGATCTCGTCCCCGTGCGCTATCTTTCCGACTCGGCGGCCTCCGACAACACTAACCTAGCACCGGTCGATCTCAACACGCTGCTGACAAACTTGGAAGCCGAACACGGCGGCCAAATGACGGAAGAAGACATCAACCTCTGCCGTGACTACCGTGACGGCCGCCGGGTAATCGAGCGATATCTCCAGGACTCTGACCAGGTCCTACAGATGACGGAAGAGGACAAGGAGGAGTACCTGTTGTCGAGAGGTTCGTCTCCGTAATCTGCAGAAGATGGTCAACCTACTTTTCCGACTCCGATCCCCGAACATCCTACTAGCTACTACGGCTTCGCTACTTTATACGACGTCACCGGTAGGTATTTTCACCAGACATATTCACCCATTCCGAGTCCTCATAGGCGATGAGGCCTCTCAGATCCCGGAACCCGTTTTGGTAGCCCTCGCCATCCGACTACCATCTGTTCGTCATATCTATATTGGAGACGTCTATCAGCTCGAGCCGCATGCAAAGTGCTCCAGAACAGCAAATCCGGCTGACTATGGTGCACGGAGCATCATGGACGTTCTCAATAAGGCCCGCGCCGTCCCAGTAGCACCCCTCCATACCACGTTTGAAGTTCATCCAGACCTCATCCAACTCTCGAACCGGGTCGCTTACGAGGGTCGATTGATCAGTGGGATTCGTCGTCAAGATCGCCAAATGCTGCTTTCCGTCATGAATTTTCCGCATCCGCGGATCCCATTCCTATTCCTCGACTTGCCTTCCAGTTCTATCCGGGCACCCAGTAAGTCCCTCTACAACGAAACCGAGGCCCGCATGTGTTGGGAAATGATCGGTCGCCTCCGTGGCCGTGGTATCGACGCTTCATCAATCTGCGTCATCATATTTTACCGCGAACAATACCGCCGCCTACGGGACACAGCTGAAGAGGTTGGAGTCGAGCTCTCCACGGTCGATTCAGTGCAAGGCCGTGAAAAGAAGTCGCCGTGTTACTCACAACAAGGACCGATGTCGACCCGGACTCCGCCGAGTTTTTCGATGACTATCGACGCATGAATGTCGCACTGTCACGCTGTCGCCAGGGTCAGTTTATTATAGGCAACGCCGCCATGTTACGAAGGGTGCCGTATTGGAACAAAGTCCTCACGTGGTCCTCCTCGATCAATGCGGTTGTTACTCCTGTCCAACTCGATCAATATCTTTAATCTCTTTTAACGCGCAAGGTGAGCACTTTTCCTCTCCTCCTTGATTTTTTTCGTAAGTCCGAGACGGACATGAAGAAAATGGGGGAGGTGTAAGAGCAGCGCTACGCGCTGGAACTGGAATCTTAACATCTAAGCCTACAGTAAGCCAGCGCTGACTCATCTAATTGAGGGCGTGGCCGCGTCAGCAACTGTATGCTAGAGAGGTTCCGATCCCGCTCCCGAGCGGTGGCGCTCTCCTCATCCCCGGGCGGACGTTTGCCCCGTCGTCGTAGCCGTCGTCACCAACCGAGGACTTATGATACTCATGGTCATATTCCTATACTCAGCCTGTGTCATCTATAGTAAACTGCTTCGTATTCTTGTGTTACGACAGCTGTATTACTCTAACCCGTTTCCACTGGGCTAACGCTCACTCCCTTCTCGCTCGCCCCTGGTCCCTGGCGGATTCGTCCGCAAAGGGTTAAGTGGTCAGCCAGCCCTGGTAAGTGCTGCCATCCAACGCGTCCGGATAAGGGAACAGGATTTCGGCAGAGGAATACTCGCCGCAGAAGAAGGAGAACGACCTGCACTTCGGGCGGAGCATTTCACCTGCCTCACGTGTCTGTCATGATTGTGTAACATTTCGTGTGATATTTCCTGCTGTTGATTACTTGTATTCTTTTGTGGCACACCTTTGGTGTATATAAATAAATAATCAATTAAATAAATAAATAAATAATTGCATAATAGTAAGGCTTCATGTGAAGTGAAAAGTAAAAGCATAAGAGGAATGATTTGCGGAACAAAATACAGATCAATCAATTTTTAGGCTCAGCTGCTAGAATTCTTGCCACAATCGGTTCTTTTTCGTCGTCCGGCAGGAAACACGAACGTGCTGCGTTCATTTGCTAAATTGGCATGATAGGGAAGTTGCTACATGTAAAGACGGCACAAACTTACGCATTGCCATAGTTGGTGAGGGGTGAGGCCAATTTCATCTCTAGCAAGCTGCAATTCACTCAGCATAGTGTTGTCGAAGCATGTGGGGTCATCACGAGAAATGGAGAAATTCACTTTGTCTTTGGCCCAACTGCAACATTTACCGTTAATTATAAGTAATTACTATTCGCAGCTAAGATGTATTTTGAAATAAAAAAACAACGCATCAGCACTAGTAAAACAAAAAATTAATAGTCTAAAAACAGAAAATTCAGTCAAGTTTCAGTCATGATCAGCCGATACTTCTAAAGACCAGCTGCATACTTATTTCAATTAGAAAAATATTATGGTAGTAGGGCTGAGCCAACAAGAGCTTGATTATTCATCAATGTAACACACTGCTTAACTTCCCTAGAGCCTAAGTAAAGGGCTGGTCAAACAAAGGAATTGAAAGACATGTGCTGCGGATAATTCTTTCTTACTACAACCATATCAAGTACTTTTACGAAACGAAAAAGCTCGGAGCCTATCTTTGCTTGGGGCCTGATTTATCCTGTAAAGCAGGATAAATCAAGCCTTGTCCAAAATTTTTACTCAGAGCAACTATTTCCTTCAATGGTTTGTTTTCCTGCTATCCACCATAACTCGCTGTTTGTTTTCCTTTACATATACTAGAAAGTCTTCATTCTCAATATATTTGTAGAGTGGAAAGAGTATTTTCTGCGTTTCCTTCAGCGACAATTTGGCTGGAGGCGCATGTTATGCACAATGACAATAAAATGAATGTAGCTGAATCCTTGGAAAGAGTAACTCACTTCTGCTCTATCAAAAAAAGCTGATGTGCATTCCTGATTCATAATTAGATTGTTATCGGCAACTAGAGTGGTCGTTCAAGCCATTTTTTCGAAAAAAAAAAACGTTAAGCCTTCTTTCAATCGCAACATTTACTTGTGCAAGTTTTGAAGATAAAGCGGCATGAAGACTGCCAAAAATAATCTTTTTAAATACTAGGATTTGGATTGAGTGTTATACAAAAACGCCGTAACCAAGATCCAATGGTTATCAAAAAAACGGAGTCTTTACAAACCTCGAGATAGGATGTTTCTTCCAATCCAGCTCCACGGCACCTGCCATAACGGATGAGTATGGGCACGCTTCCAGATGAATGCTTCGGTCATCCAAGAAATGCCTGAGAGGGTCATACAGTCAGAGGCCACTTGGTACAACCATACTGCGTGAATCAAGATAGACTAGGCTCACTTCTTGTACAAATTGGGATCCCTCATAATGCGATAGCCATGTCCAATTCTTTCTGCATGCATGTCACTGATCGCCTTAATCACGTCCTTAGCGCCTCCACTAAATCCAGCATGAACTGTACGATGAATTCCTCGTGCGTGAGCTTCCTGAAGGCTGAAAGACAATTGCGAAGATCGTAAGAAGCCCAGCGCATTTTCTTTCTCTATATGAAATTTTGCAGAAGAAAATGTGAATAGATTCTACACGAAGACTGAAGATCGTATTTGCTTGAGCAAGCAGCTTTATAGACACAGCCTTATAGAGCCTGCTGACTTCGAGAATTGTCTCCCCACCTCTTCATCGCCATTTTCATGGTACATGGAGGTGCTAAGATAATGGATTGTGATTTTTTTTTTCACATAAAGGTGATTAGTTTATTGTCGACCTTCACGAAGTGTCCAATTTCTTATTGGCAGGAATACATAAAATTTTTGAAAGACTCAGGTACTCAACGGATGAAGTTCTAACCGAAAGCTCCATTTTATCAAAGTTGAATCCCACGGAAAATTTCAATCTTTTCAATTCTTAAAACATCGGCTGTTGCCATGAGCTGAGTTTGCGAGTAAAGAAAGACAATGACATTGCTGATTTAATGAGCTGGATGATGTTTCCAAGTTTCTGACTATTTACATAAAAAAGTGTGGGCTTAAATTCCACCCCTGGATAACACGGGAAGGATATTGGTCGAAGTCGAGTTTCCAAATAAAATTTATACTGTCATATGGAGCATGAAAAGCTTGAAATCTGCTTTCGTTATCGCAAAACGCTTGGCGGCTATGGGAATTTATTTTAAAAAAATTCAAGATTCAAGAAATGAAGGTAAATGCGTAAAGTGCCGTGGCAGTAGTTATGGCCCCATTTGAGCTCATAACAGTACTTTTTTCTTACTGAAGCAAAGAAGCTGTTCTGAGCTAACTTTAAAATTCTTTTCCTGCTGACAGTAGCTTAGTTTTTGTTGCCTTTTCCCCATTTCTCATTCCTAATCTTCTGCAAATGTGTTATCTTCCCTAAAAGGATTGATCCGTGTTTTTTTGTTTTCGACAAAAAACCCACATCGCACAGATGAGATAGCAGAAGCATTTGCTACTCTGTTGCCCCACATCATAAAATAAAAAGTCTAACACGTTGACGACCTCGTGTATACACACGTATACACGCCCCGACTCCTGTTCAGCATGTTCGTGCATCCGCGCATATGCACGCTAGTTTTTTAGGTGTAAACCGAAAGTTTTAAGGTAACTTTTATGCAGTAATACTATTGATGGCCTGATTATCTTACAGAACACAGGGCATCGCGACAGCTGTTCAGAAGTTTTGGCCGCAAAATTGGGTAATTCAGTCCGTTTTTGATGTGGTAAATACATGTCAATTATGTTTTTCCAAGAAGGTGAAAACTCTGTATAGCTGTTCTGTTTTGTTTTGTGTTGAAAGCCAAGGATGAATCAGGCAAAAAACACTTGGTATTACAACGCTTTTCTCGAAGCGGGATTGCTCAGATGTAGTCATTACATAGCTTGTTGGAGGGAGAATCGATGCAAAAGCTCTGATTTGTTAAGTCCTGGTAAGACTGTGATATACATGTATCTCAGGAAAAGTCCGCATGTTTTATGAAAAAGCTTCAAAAAGACTCCCACATAATGTTTTCGTGCATACGCGCGTATGCACGGGCCAGATGCGCGAGGGACGTTAGTGCGAGTTTCGTTCAAAATGGCGCGGTCGTCAACGTGTTAAAGGCACCGTCCACCCAAAATGGGGTCGATGAGATTTCGATGCCTAACAGTAGTGGGACCCCTAACGGTATGCTTGTCCAACTCGCGCTGGCAAAAGTTGCTTTCGAA